CGTGGTCTTGCGAAATTTTTAACTAGAAAAAACGCCTCAATTTTTGATAGACGAGAAATTATCGGAAAAGCGGACGAAAGGTAATGTCTCGAATGGGTGAAAGAAAATTATTAAGCGTACCGTAAGCGCACGCGATCGAACGGGTCGCGAGAGTGCTTAACGACGCGTTACATAAACGGAAAGCTAGTACACGAGCGGAAACTCGAGGTCTCTTAATATCTACTCTCGCTACCCGCGTTACGTCAGCAAAACGCACGTTCACCACGTCTGGTCTACTACGATTACTCGCAATTTTTAATTTTTCTCCAATTTTCAAATAGAAAATAAAAAACTACATATACCACACGATATTTATGCAAAATTGGCTTCGCGATTACGCATGGAAGATTCCTGCTGCATAAATGTTTCATGAGTGATCGTATTCGCTGAGTGTATGATCGAGGAAACGCTGAATTTATGATTCATTTATGGGAGTGCCAATACTTTTGCCATTACTCTCTAACGAGAAAATAACTTTGCCGATATAATTACATTTTAATTGTACAATTGAATCAATGTAAATGAAATAATTTGATATCAAACAATTTATTAATTCGCAAAATTGTTTTCCAGATGCATACGCAGGTGAACACGGGCGCTGCGATCTACAGACCGCGCCTGTGCACCCACGTGGAGGGGACGACGAGGAGTGGAGGAGACAACCGATGGCGTCGGTCAGCTGAGCGCACCGCTCACAGCTGGGCGCGCGCGACGCTGTCGCCGAACAGCTGATCGCGCTGTCAGAACATGGCGAGCCAGGCGCGCGTGGCGTGGATCGCAACGAGAAAATCATACCGTCCATTTTCAGCTCGTGCCGATCGCAGACCCATGCAATCTCAGGGCCGTATGGACTGAGAACGTATTTAACGCGTTCGCAGTCCGGTAAGCCACAATTATGAGTCAGAAATCCGCGAATCGACGCACGCGTTTCGACTCAGGAGAGTCTACATGACTGCGCCTCTAAATTACATTAAGATCGATCCCGCTTGAGTTGCCGAACAAAAGAACCATTATCCTTGTAAATTATCTCGCTTAGCGCGCGCGAGTGCGCGCATTCACGCTTGCGGATATGTACGGAGATATGTGTGAGGAAGACGTTAAAGGTCTTTCTAAAAAGGCTTTTTAAACATAATTATCGTCCTTTAGTTATTTCACTCGAGTAACTCGAACAGTAAAGGGCACACCACGCAGTTTGAAGAAAATAGAACATAACAGGAAGCCATGACTCACGCCTTCGCTATGGACACATGTAAAAGACGTATGCTAATTCTGCCATCTTTCTCTGTGTGTTCAATCCTCTTTAATTAACGTTTCTCTCTCTCTCTCTCTCCTGGAACCGCAAAGCGCTCGGAATAATTTGTAAAAAGAATACGGTATGCAACATTCCGTTTCAAGAACTCGCTTAAAATTTATTGAATCGAAAATTTCTTTGTAATTTCTCGCTCGATCCTTTCTTTCACTTTCTTCCTTCCGATCATGTTCACTAAAAAAGAATATAATAACAAATAAAGTTTGTTTGTAAGATCGTGGTATATATGTCGATCTTATTCGTTCTTCGACTGGCAAAGGAACGCTTTCAAGACTGCCCAGAAATAAACTCGCTCTTCCGGTAGGTTTGTAGCGTTTGCGAAACACGGCACTATCGACGAGAATATCATGCGTATTCGCAGCGCATATTTAACCCTACATGATAAAAAAACTTTATCACTATCGTTGAAGTTCTGGATCTTCAGTGCTAAATCGCGAGATAAGAAATATTAAGAGAACATAAATATAATTTTTTAATATATTTTCTTCAAAAAGGAAGAGAGAGAAAGATAAAGAAATTTGGATCTGTTACAATTTACAAAAAATGCAAAAGCAATGTGCATAAATTATCTATCGTAGATTCGCGTGTAAAACGAAATTTTCCGTAAGAAAGACGCAACAATCACCATTCCTTGACCTTTAGCTTTAATATCTACGCGTAGTTGCCAGTTAATCGCAGCTCATAGTTGTATTATAGTCAGCTTCTCGCGTATGGATCTCACAGCGAGATCTGCGACTTCCAGTCGAGTCACTTAAAAAAACCCAGAGTGTGTATCTACCGGACGTTCTACATTTTGCGAGCTCGGAACTGGGTCGGCTGACCCAAGTGACGAGGGGATGCAGGATTTCCGGGCGAACCTATGTGTATCCCCGATTGGCAGTCAAAGGACAAAGTTCCCCCGGTTAACAATAACGATAATGGCTTTTTCTTGAAAGAAACTTCTGAAATCCCTTTACAGCTTTAGAAATTGCATATTTATTTTTGCAGGCAAAGGCGCGACTCTAATCGTAAGAAGTTACAACGGAAATACGGTTCCCCCGTGGCGTACGTACGTTGCAAGTGGCGGATCGGACTTCAACGCGAAACCTAAAATAGACACCGCTGATTCCGAGTTATTTCGTAGTGGAACGACTTTTAATAAAAGCAAAAAACCGCGCAACGGTGAAAGTGAGTCTCGATGAGATCGTAGGAGAGAAAGAGATCATTGGTCCGATTTCGTTCGTAAAAGTTGCTAGATGATATATTTACGAGTCAGTTCACTTTTCGCAAAATAGTTCTTTCCGTACATGATCAGCCATGTGAGACACAAATTTATGTGAAATAGCGTAGCGAATACAAAAAAAATGTACAGAGATTTTATTTTCCACCTGTCTCTTACATTCACATTGTTTTGTCCTAAAAGAATTCAAGTTTTTCATACATCCTTACTTTGACTAACGTTTCGCAAATGTTTCCAGGGATCTTTCTCGATTAAGCTCCGTCGTTTGTGGATGATGTGCGCCGAGAGATGAGAACATCTCAATTTGGAATAAAGGTTTCAGCCTGTGAAGGCAGGACAGAAAAGAGCCGAGACCAAGGAGGGTAACGAGGTCAACGGGTGGGAAGCAGTGGGTGCAGATCTAGGTTACCTGTATATTATGCAACCAACACTACTGTAATTTCATGATTGTACGTAGTTGCACATGCCTACGTGCGCAGAGTGCGCAGCGCGTAGCGATTGCTATACGTTTCGATAATAATGTGTGAGAAGTCCAGACGCAAAACTTATATCTCTTGAGATCTTTCGGAATCGTATGATCTACTTCATTACATTTCGCAAGTCAGGAAAAATAAAATTACATTAATTTCAACTTTTGATTGTACAAAAATATTAATCGATTCTATGAGAAATTTTTTTGCTTTTATTGTAAAATTGCAAATTACAGAGAATGTGAGCTTTGCATCTAGGCTCCTGTGTGTGCATGTCGGTTATTTAATGCAATAGAAATATTCACGCTGCTTGAAATCACAGTCCTCCACAAGAATTCTCTAGCAACTTTATTCAAATGAATTAACATTCGAAATTGCGAGAATAGAAAAAGATAATAATCCGTAATGTGAATATATCTAAATGTAAATTCCTCATGTTTTAAAAAAAACTATAATTAACTGAGTTTCTTAGACTCGGATGTCGGATATTTTCTTAATGTAACTTCTACAGTCAATTATAATTCATATTCGCGTTTTTTTCAATCCTTAACATTGCATATTCTCTCTGTACTTGTTTTGTAAAATTTTATATGAAAAAATGTAGTTAGCGTACATTTTCGTCTGGAGAACTTTGCCAAATTAGCACGATTCAATAATTAATCAAAAATTGCAAATATCTCGACGTTTTCATCGAACAAAATGATTAAGATTGAAAAATTTGCAGGGTAAGAAATATGGTGCGGAAGGAAGTCGCTGCTTTTGGCATACTCTGTACGTATATACGTTTTGTTGGTTGCTGCGCGTCTCCTGATACCGTGGGGCCTTACGTAATGTACGAAAGACAGAGAACGAAAGAAAGAGACGAAATGCGTTTCCTAACATGTGCAGCCTTGCCGAGGGACGACGGCGACGACGACGACGACGACGATGACGACGGCGACGACGGTGCAACGCGTGGCGTGCTGCACCTTCGGTCGCGGATCGCCTATAAGCGAACCCTCGTATTTATAGGCACACTTGCCAACCAAGGCCGATCCGCAATTTTAACTCACGTGGACACGAGCGAGACCTCGCACTTCTCGCGTGACGCTTTTTTTCTTTAACGTCTCTCGAGAAACGGTAACTATTGCTTTTATCGGCTTTACAAAGTCCTAAGAAAAAATATGTCTTACCTTAAAACATAAGAAATAGCAATACATTTATACTTGATAAAGATGTTGGGGCAAAATGACATTAATTGTTCAGTTTGATTAATCGGGGCTGGAAATGAACGCGATAGCAAGATTTAGATTCTAATATATTTATAGAGTGATACAGTTATATAAAACTGTGTAAAAAATCTTAATAATGCATTCCATGTATGAAGTGTTACGTTTCATCCACGCGAAGAGATCTGATAAATTTTTGAATACGCAATCTGATATTTCTTGAATGTTAAACGCGAAATAACTCGATACGTTGGTTTAACTTCGTTCGACTACCGCAACTGGGCTATCAGATTCGGTCTGAAAATTACCGCAATCAATCGTAGTGGGATTGTCGGACGTCAAGTAGCTGCTTAATAAGCTGTGGTTATCTTTCGGCGCGGTTATAATATAAAGTTCTCATGTAAAAAAAAAAAAGGAAAAGAACGGATCACGCTTATTAAAGTTTTGCTTTGCAGTTTTTAGAAACTGAGGTGCGATACTGTTTCTTGGTGGTCGGACGGTTATTTTTTAAAGCCAAGTAGAAGCGACGAGACAAATGGATTTCGTCTTCGATCCGTTCGAGTCCTGCTCTTTCTCTCATGAATTTTCACTTCGAGATTCGCGTGAGGAACGATCGGGGGGAGCCAAAACGTCCACCACGGTCATCACCTTGAATTTTTTTAGGTGCACATCCAAAACAGCTGGGTTCAATGAACGGTTAAGACAACGCCCCCAAGTGTTGTTTTCACACGACTCAGCGGGAGAGAAAGAGAGATGTCTGTTTCATTCGACTGTACAACCATAAAAGCTCAAGAGGCTTGTGCGGACGCAGCTGGACCCCGTATGCGCGTCTCGAACGAGCACTTTATTTATCAAAATACTCGATAAGCGATTATAGACGTAATCGGCCACACGATGTCTTCACCTACATCTGACAAAAAGAGATAATTTGAATTTCCCATTATTATAGCCTAAAGCCGTAATGAAATATATCAGCGTCTTTGCAAGATATCATTTTGCTGATTTATAACGCGAGCGTATAAAGCAATCAACTTTTTCAGTCGCCTCAAAAAAGAAGCCGAGTTTACATGCGGTTTCGCAAATAACCGAGCGTAAGTTGATATTATCAAGACGTGATTATTTATCACGTTCCAAATAAGAGACTCGATTCCACGTCGACCGAAGTAGACCGCCAGTCTACTCCAAATGTTCGATCGAATGTTACCTTTTATGTTCTTTATAACTCACGTTTTAGTTTACTTGAGCTATACAACATAAATATTGAAATACGTTAAAAAATAACATTTCTTTTTCAGGACAACTTTCAGATGTTGACAAATAAAATATTTGAACACTCATGTACAAGTTTTAACACGTGACAATTTCTTTGCCAACTCTTTCGATGCCTGGGATATAAAATCCAAGAATGTTTTAAACAAATCAATAGAAGTGAGAGTAAGAAAGGGATTATCAATACGATAAACCTAACCTAACAAAAGATTCTTTCCGGAATGCAACAAATCCTTTGTTCCAGCCCTAAACTCAATAGAGGGAAAAATTTAAATTTATCGTAAGTGTTCTTATCGAGCTAGAAAAGTGGTATTGAAAGGGTGGAAGGGTAAAAATGCGTTCTCCCTCGCTCCTGCTCTCGCTTTCTTCTCTGTTCACAGGCCAGAAATCCAGCCGAGAGACCAAAGCCGAAGGAGGGCATCGCCGAGGGGACAAATAACAATCAGCCATCAGGCTTGGGCGAGCGACGAGCGGACAAAGGTGCCCGCTCCCCACCCTGCACCCTCCGAGCTGTCATGAACAGCTGGAAGCCACTGTGGTATGTTGCAAAAGGGCCAAAGAACATGACGCGGCGTGCCTATTGGCGAGTATTTTCAAGAGACGTGAATTAGTTCACTAATTCGCGAATTACATCAGCCTGTAATTTGATCCCCCATCTTCACGAGAAGAAAGGCAAAATCCTCGTCGAAGACAAAGATGCCTTCGAGTTTCCACGCTTCAAATGGGTTACGTTTGAGTTTAGAGAAGAATTTATAAGAAATACGCGAGTCTATTGCACGGAAAATTATCTGACACAAATTCCGCGAGAGATGTACCGAGAGATACCGTCTCAGCTTTGCACGCCAACTTGTATGTCTCGTGTAAATTTGACGGATCATCAAGCGCGTGCACTTGGCGTGCGCTCAACAGCGATCGAGACAGCGATTTCGATCGCGAGGAAACGCTTTCTCTTGGAGAGCGCCCTCGCCTCATAATCGAGGAACGGGAATGGGAACGCACGGCAGAAACAACGAGCACAGTCACGACAGCGCGAGAGAACAGATGGGAGAGTCGTGTGACAACGACGATGACGGAGACGAAGACGGTGGCGATGATGATGATGACAATGACGGCAAATAAATCTGTTCACGTTCACTTACCGATTCGCAGCGCTCACGACGAGACAGCTCACGATCCCGACCGACGACACGAGCCTGGAGTCGTTCCCGTGGGTCAAATAATCCCGTCCACGGGCCCCATGGCAGCCGACCGTCGACGCGGCGTCGTCGCACGGGTGATGACAACGACGATGGGACCTGTTCTCCGTTCGGGGAACACGCGCAGCGCGCTGTTGCGATGCTGAATGCGCGTTTGCGAGACGCGACCGACAGACGAAAAACACGTACGACGGAAAACACGCACAGACGGACAGCAGAACGCGCAACCACCGACTTTTGTACGCGCAACTCGTTCAAAGGCCTGTTGCCAACTGGTCTGACCCCGCAAGACTAGACGCAGAGAGAGCTCGCACTGCTTCGTGACGTACACGCGCGCACAGCTGCCAACCTACCGACTGTGTTCTGAAATTGCAGATTGTAATGTGCAAGCAAGCACTGCTCTCTCGGTGAAGTAGTTCATTCCGTTCCGCAATGGCTTTCGCACCTAGTAATCACAAGCTCCGTATTATGGTTTGCTGCTTATGTTACAGCTGTCAGATTGTATATATAGGTAAAAGATGGGTATATTTAATAAGACACGCGTGAAATTCAACATTCTTGCATTACTTGATGAACAATGACCACGAAACAAAAGAGCCAATATGATTTGTAATGATTAATAGAACGGATAATGACACATTTGTACGTCAGTAGAATGACTAATATAACACGATAGTATTTATATGCATTTTTCGGGATAATCAGCACGATTAGTTCAGTAAAAATGTTCTAAACATAAAAATGGAAGATATGTTCTTTGTATAATTACTGTATAATTCCTGGATTCCATATTTTCTGGATTAAAAATGAAAGATATATATAATTCAGTGTTAAAAAAGAGATAAAAAAATACAGGAAGCGCAGTTGCAAGGAACAGATCTCATGAATAAATAACGAGTACGATTGTGACTGGCCCGGACAAGCTCATATCAAAATTGCAACATGGCAAGTAAAGACTGATTAAAATGTTGACTTTTGCAATTTTCGAAAATTTTTGAAATTATATACGGAAATTTCTAAAATTATATATATGGAATATCGGAATATACGGAAAAAAATATGATATCGAGCTGTTATAAAAGACAGATAACCATGAAACAAGAGCTTGCATAATCGCGAAATATTGATCATAATGTTTATTAATTTTGATGTTTTATTTCCAGAATATTTCTACGTGTTAAACTCTTATCTATTGATATTCAGATTATGTAGGCATAAGTATAATACAAGTATATTATTACGAAATATGCATTTTAACCACACTTTAACCCTTTCAGCGTCAAGATGACAGCTGTACTACAGTGGCGCCCGCTGCAGCGTTTTCTGGAACTAAAAAAGCGTATTCATTCGCGATTGGCTGAACGGAAGACGATCACAGCGCTGCGTGCGCCCGCGATCGCGGCAGACCATATTTAATTTCTCGAGAATGCTGGCTGCGTGGGATGGCGAGAAAAATTGGAGGAAAACGGCGACACGCCGCTCGTCGACACGCGAATGCGGACGCGTCTTCGTGCACGGGCGATTCGCCTCCATTTTCAGAATGAGCGCTGATCCAGGTAAAGCGACCCGCAATCGGGAAATGCGGCGGCG